CTTAAATAAATAAGGAAAATTTATCCCTATGTGTATAAGCACCTTGTGGTGAGCAGAAAGTGGCAGGCCCTGCTGCTGAGGATCTTCAGCTGCCAGGCTCTACCCACAGAACATTCTAAAGGATCCACCCTTCCAGACACAGGTGGCTAAGCTTTAGGCTTGAAAATCCACCAATCCCCACCCTGGAACGCTCTCCCTGGAAAGTCCCCCTCCCAAGAAATGCTATACAATGCTGTCTTCTGCTCAGCTCTTGGATGCTTCTCATCAGAGCAAAGACAGCAGCCCTCCTGGATTTTTCCTTCCCAATAAATCTCCTGTGTGAGGTTTGCTGTCCAGTGCGACTTTGGTATTCCTTGGCCCCTGACTGCCAGGAAGCCGCCACCACTACCACCCCAAGCCCTAGCCCCATACTCCCCATGAGTAGAGCTCTAACACTTACAATATATATGTAAATCTAAAGCTTGACAATAAATATGAAAAAGAAATCAGTATAACTTCCAGAAGTTCAAAACTCTTTATTAACTGAGTCCAAACTTATATTGGATAAGATGTTGAAGAAAGAATTAAGATGTCTCATTTTACATTTTTTGTTGTTGTTGTATGGGGGGGGAGGTTGGTTTGGTTTGGGTTTTTGTTTTGTTTTGTTTTGTTTTTCAGCCCTGGCTGTCCTGGTATTGACTATGTACAACAGGCTGGCCTCAAACTCCCAGACATCTGACTGCCTCTGCCTCCAGAGTGCTGGGATTAATGGCTGTCCACCACAGCCCAGCAAGACTCTTTAGAAAGATAAAAAGGTATCTCTGTGTGTGTGGTGTGTGTATCTTTGCATGTATGTGTGACTAAAGGAGTATGTCAGTTTGTCCATCTATTCTTTGGTTCCAAAAGTCAGATTCTGTCACTGTACCTTTACCATGCTGTTTCAGCTCCGATAGTTGGTTAGAGAGCACCAGAATCTGCCGCGCAACCCCAGGGTTAAGATTACAGGTACCTAAAGCCATACCAGATTTTTTCCTCCTCATGTTTAAACAGCAAGTACTGTTTTTATTTATCTCCTCTGCCTTGAGATAAAGATCTTTAGAGGTAAATAAAATTTCAAAATTGATGATGAAATAAAGCAAATTTTAAAAATTAGTCAAGATGTTACCCATACCTGGGAGTGGTTGCATACAACTTTGATTGTAGCACTCAGAAGCAATGAGTTTGTGAGGGCCTCATCCACATAGCAAATTGTGTAACTTAGTGAGACCCTGCCTTTAGAGTAAGCAAAATAAAAACAAACAAAACCCCCACAACCTTACCCATAGACTATAGTGACCAAAAAAAACAAGAGTTTCTGGGGTTGGAGAGATGGCTCAGAGGTTAAGAGCACTGAGTGCTCTTCTAGAGGTTCTGAGTTCAATTCCCAGCAACCACATGGTGTCTCACAACCATCTGTAATGAGATCTGGTACCCTCTTCTGGCCTGCAGACAGAACACTGTATACATAATAAGTAAATAAATAAATACAGAGTTTCAAATCCTATAAGCAAGGTTGATGAATTATTACATGCTAGAAATAAAGGAGTAATGGGGATGTCCCTCTGTATATATATGTTTCTCTTATTGGTTGATGAGTAAAACACTATTTGGCCAATAGAGGCAGGGAGATAGGCGGGGCCAGGAGACTAGCAGAAGGCTGGGAGAGAGGTGCCAAGATGAGACACCATGTAGACGCCAAAGGAGTAACAGGTCCAAGCATTCTCCGGTAAGCCAAGACCACATGGAAATACATAGATTAATAGAAATGGGTTAATAATTAAGACATCCAGCCAATAAGAAGCTCTAGACACTGGCCAATAATTTTATGATATGTCTTTGTGTGCTTATTTGGGGCCAAAGTGACTGTGGGACCTGGCGGAATGAGAAACTACAGTTACATAGGAAGAATACCAAGAAAGAAAGAAATTAGAACCATGATTATTGAGACCTCTTTTGCATGCTTAAGAGACCAATCCAAAGGTTTTGGCATCTAAGTGGGAGTGTATGTATTTACGGAAAGAACACCAAACCTTTGTATCCAACTTGGTAGTATGTGTATATCAAAATTTCATAGTGAATAACATTGTCTTCTGCAGTTTGTATGTTCAAAACAAATCATACTTTCAAAGTTTTTTTTTTTTTTTTTTTTTTTTTTTTTTTTTTTTGGTTTTTTTGAGACAGGGTTTCTCTGTGTAGCTTTGGAGCCTATCCTGGCACTCACTCTGGGGACCAGGCTGGCCTCGAACTCACAGAGATCCGCCTGCCTCTGCCTCCCGAGTGCTGGGATTAAAGGTGTGCGCCACCAACGCAGCCCAGCTCAAAGATTTTTTTAATAACTGATTTTCTAAGAATTCCCATCAAAATTAATGACTAGTGGTTGTATATGTCTGCAGTAACTACACAGGAGGATGAGAAAGGAATGTGGTTAGACGTGACACTAACCTGGGCTATGTATTGGGGTGCTACCTCAAAAAGAAAATTTCTATCTTGACCGTAGGCATTTGTCCATGTCATCCTGGATGCCCTGCCTGCTTGATTCATCCTTGCTTATCTTTGTCTGCTTTTCTGTGTCTTCTAATTGTGCCTTTTAAAAAATGTTATTACATTCAGTTATTTATTTATTTGTAGGTAAATGTGAGTTTGTATTTAGAGGTCAGAGGACAATTTATGAGACTTGGTTCTCTTCTTCCACTACATGATTCCTGGCATTAAACTCTGGACATTGGGCTTTGTGACAGGCACATTTACCTTCTGAGGCATTTGTGCTGGTCCCTACATGTGACTTTGTACTATGCAGTGTTCTTTTTTAATTTTTTTATTACACTTATTTGTGTGTGTGTGTGTGTGTGTGTGTGTGTGTGTGTGTGTGTGTGTGTTGTGTGTATATGTATGCACATCCCACAGTATGTATGGCGGGGTCAGAAGACAGCGTGCAGAAATTGGATATCACCTATAAACATGAGTCCCAGGGGTTGAACTCTGGTCATCAGGTGTGGCGGTAAGCACATTTACCCGTTAAATCACCTTGCTGGCCCACACTCAGCATTGTTCTTAGAGGTTTAACTTGTAACTTTCCAGTTGCTTTACAAACAAAAGCACCCTAGGTTTTTTCTTTGCCTTGGTATGTTTTATGCATTCTTATATTTCAGGTTGGAGTCAAACTGTTTCTTTATGCGATTTTGTGTCCATGTTCTTAGGACATTCTCAAGGTGACTTTTTCCGAAATGTAAAAAGTAGTGCATGTGGCAATAGGTATAAATAGAAACTACATTTACCAGACATTAGAGAAATATAAATCAATCGTAGATTGCATTCAAGTTCATATTACAGGAAATGACAGTGGTGTAACTTTTATACATGTGTAAATTCTTTCTGTCCATTAGTTCTCAAAAGAAAACACTTTAGGTTCAGAATAGATGAATCAGCAGTTAAGAGTGCTTGCTGCTTATCTAGAAGATCCAAGTTGGGTTCCCAGTGCCCAGATCAGGTGACTTGGGGGAGTGCTGATGGGTAGCACTTTCCTTTAACACAAAACACTTCATTTTGGATGGAAGGAAGCTTATCATGACCCAAGATGCTCTGAAAAGAGGTAAAACATTTCATCCCCCTGGGAATCCCATTAAAACAAACAATGCTAAAGCCTGGGGAACTTCCCTAAACTAACCAGATTCGCTTGGCCCCTTGTTCTCCAAGATTATATAAACAGTAAAGACTGCAGAAAAATACTGAGTCCAGCAGAGATGCCTGGTAGAGGCTCAAACCAACTAGCGGGTGCCAAGAAAAGATAACTGTTGGGCTGCCTGTGCCGTGTGCAGTATACTACAGGTTTCCATCACCCATGCTGGGATGGGCTTTGGTGATTCAAAGATCTTTGGGGCATTTCTGCTCACACATATTATTGTAAGTAATCCCCAAAAACCACATTGGTTTATCAAGTTTGATTTTGGTTAGACCCTTGCTTTGGCCAGTCGTCAGTTTCCTATCTGGGGTGAGTAGACATTTGCTCATGTCTCTTCAGAATTTCTGTCACACAACAGATCCAACACCCTCGTCTAGCCACCAAAAGTGTGCACACAACCACATTTCTATTTTAAAAGAAATATATTTTGCATGTTGATTTCTTTACTTGAGGCTATGAATCTTACTTCCTATGTCAGTATTGTATAGCACTCATCTCTTTCTCTGGCTGTAAAATTCTTTCCACCTCTTCTGTGATGTTTCCTTAGACTTGGGCCTGGGGCCACTGATTCAAATGTTCTGTTTAGGGCTGACATTCATAGTCAGGGTCTCACTACATAAGTAGCTCTGGCTGTCCTAGGATTTGCTGTGTAGACTAGGCTGGCCTGGAATTCGCAAGAGATCCATCTTCCTCTGCCTCCTGTGTGTTGGAATTAAATGTGGGCACCATCATGCCTGGCACATTCATAGTTTTGATGAGAGAGAATTCATCCAAAGTTCATTGGAGTTTTAATCTCTTAGTATGTTAGAAATAGGTGAGAAGTTGGAAAGATACTAGGAGTATATAAAATACTATGTTGTTATAAAGCATTGCATGGCAGGGGTTCCCCCTTTGCAGATATGCTGCTTGTTTCTATTTCAGTGGATGTCCTCAGGGTTCATCAATGTCTATTGACAAATAGACATTTCTAAAAACTATACAGGCTCTCTAGAACTGGTATCTACTCTGGTGGGCACCAAATTACTAAAGATGCAGTGTACAAAGAGTATCAAGGCAAATATCACAACAGGTGGTCATGCTCTTGTGTTCATTTATCATACAGTTCCATACTAGCATGAGAATTATGTGATAATGTGAATTAGAATAAATAGTAAATGTGTATTTGCTTTTTCTAAGTAGTAAAAAGTGGTACCAGCTGTGATGTAGAAGGAATAGATGAAGAACACAGCATGAAGTAGAGGAATCAAGTCAGTGTATATCTCCAGTGTTTTTCACCATTAGTCTTGTATGTGGATTATTTTAGGAGCCTGTGACCTTTGAGGATGTGGCTGTGAACTTCACCCTAGGAGAGTGGGCTTTGTTGGATTCTTATCAAAAGGAGCTCTACAGAGATGTGATGAAGGAAACCTTTAGCAACCTTATCTCCATAGGTAAAAAATACAGCATAATTCTTTTCTTTATTCATTCAGAGAAATAACTGTTTCTTGCTCTTCTCTGTAATTGCATAATTTGAAATATTAAAAGGTAAGACACTGGTGAATATTGTATGCATTGTTACATTATATCATGGGGGTGGCTAGAATGTATTGATTTTTAGTGTAATATTGAATAATACTTTTCTTGGGTTTACCTTTCAGGGAGAACTGAAGAAGAAAATATTGGAGAGGATTACCAAAATATTAGGAGAAATCTGAGGTAATTTACACTCAAAGAAAGATGTCTTTACATTGAATATGAGAGTAATAGGAAATCTGAGATCCAAGTATAGCTAAATGTAAATTGACTTAATCTAGAACTGCATTAAACTTGAACATTTAAAATTGAAGGACCCCAAATCTACAATGTAATGTTGTACAATACCATGCAACCTTAAGCTATAGAGACATTTTTCCAATGCCTTCATTATACAAAAACTTGCCTTTGTGCACAAAATTATTTAATATGTTTTTATCAAGCTACTTTTAGGCTTTGAATATAAGATATATGTGAATAAAAGTGTGTTTCAGATATATTGTAACCTACCTTCAATAGCTGCATTAAAAATGCTCAGCTATCCCAATTCCATAAAGCCTTACCTTACCATTTTGGAAAAGAAATGTTCAATTTTGGTAACTTTGGCAAAGACCATGTTTGTCACATTCGAGCCAACCATGAAACAAGAATAGTTAAAGAACAAAGCATGACATGGGCTAAATAAATTACTGTGTATCTGCCAAGTTTTTCCCCATTCTTTTTGTAATGTATGTGGCTTATTTTAGGAGAAAACAATGATATAAGAGAAACTAAGAAGATTGTATGCTGTTCTCAGGTCCTGTGGCTCATTGTTCATTCCTTTTAGGTTCATAAATTCTTGTGGCAATAGTCAACATTCTTCTTTTTCCTTAGGATGAGGTCTTTCTATGTGATCTCTGTTGGCTCCGAAGTTGCAGTCCCTCTGCCCTTGCAGTCCTTCTTCCCTTGCCTTCTAAATGCTACAGTAGCAAGTGTGCACCAAAATACCCAGCCTCTGACACCCCTCTTGACTAGCCATAAAACCAGAGTAATATTCTTTCCATTTCCTTTTTTTTTTCTTGCAGCACTCATGTGATTAAAGGATTTTATGAATTTCAACATGGCATTCAATATGGAGAAGCCCACCAACAGATTCGAGAGCATATTGTTAATGAGTGCATGCCTCCTGGGATAGTAGTATATGAAAACAGTGTGTGTGAAAATGATGCCATTGGTCTTTCACAGTCAGCTATGCACCTCAGAGGTCCAACTGTAGAGAAACCATATGAGTACCAGGAATGTATGGAAAAGCCTTTTAAACATAAATTTTGGAAAAATTTTACATATTCTGAGTCCTTTCTTACCCTTGAGAATCCTTCCAGAAAGAACCCCTATGAAAACAATCTATCTAATGAACATTGTAGGAGTCTCATTTCTGAACAAGATTATGACACGGCTCATAGTGGAGATAATCTCCATGAATATAAGCAGTTTGAAACAGCTCTTACGGCATGTAGTTATGTTCAGTCATTTGATAAGCCCCAAACTGGAGAAAAACCATTTGTGTGTAAGCAGTGTGGAGAAGCCTTCATTAATTCCAGTCACCTTATCAAACATCATAAAATTCATACTAGAGAGAAGACTTTTGCATGTAAGTATTGTGGGAAAGCTTTCATCCATCCAAGGGCCTGTTACAATCATGAACGAACTCACACTGGAGACAGACCTTATGTATGCAAGCAATGTGGGAAAGCATGTATTCATTCTTACCACCTTCTGCAACATGAGAGAAGTCACACCAGAGAAAAACTTTATGCATGTAAGCAGTGTGGGAAAGTATTTGGACGTTCTTCATACCTTCGTAAACATGAAAGAATTCACACTGGAGAGAAACCTTATTTATGTAAGCATTGTGGGAAAGCCTTCAGTGATCCCACAACCCGGAACAATCATGAAAGAACTCACACTGGAGAGAAACACTATGTTTGTAAACAGTGTGGGAAAGCCTTCATTCGTTCCTCTCAGCTTCTGATCCATGAAAGAATTCACACTGGAGAGAAGCCTTACTCATGTAAACATTGTGGGAAAGCCTTCACCTATTCCAGTGCCTGTTATATTCATGAAAGAATTCACACTGGAGAGAAACCCTATGTTTGTAAGCAGTGTGGAAAAGCATTTACATGTTCCACATACCTCCACAAACATGAAAGGATTCATACTGGAGAGAAACCTTATTCATGCAAGCAATGTGGGAAAGCTTTCATCCAACATAGGGCTTGTTACAATCATGAAAGAATTCATACTGGAGAGAA